AACTTTTAAAATAATAGATAATAAAGATATTGTTCAATTAGGACAGATGAGGGGAAGTAGTGTCCTATATATTCTTCATTTGATCTCTTTCCCTCATATCACCTTTCCAGGTCAGTAGGAATTCTGGCTGTCTTATTGTCAAAATATATCCAAAACCCTATGAAATCAATAAGGCTTTCAAGAAACAAACAACAACAACAACAAAAAACCTAAGAGAATATCTTTATGACCTTGGAACAGGGTAATAGGCAAAGAGTTCTTAAACAGAACACAGAAGTGTTAACTATAACTGAAAATAATGATAAATTGGATCACATTAAAATTAAAACTCTATTCATCAAACCACAATATTGAGAGGATAAAAAGGCAAGCCACTCAGGAAAAGAAAGTTTTTTTGGTTTTTTTTTTTTGAGACAGAGTCTCACTCTGTCGCCCCGGGTAGAGTACAGTGGCATCATTGTAGCTCACTGCAACCTCCAACTCCAAGGCTCAAGTGATCCTCTTGCCTCTGCCTCCCGAGTAGCTGGGACTACAGGCACACACCACAGTGCCCGACTAATTTTTCTATTTTTAATAGAGACGGGGGTCTCAGTCTTGCTCAGGTTGGTCTTGAACTCCTGAGCTCAAGTGATCTTCCTGCCTCGGCCTCCCAGAGTGCTAGGATTATAGGCATGAGCCACCATACCAGACCAGGAGAAGAAAGTTTTTACAATTCATCTATAAGATTCATATCCACAATATATAAATAACTCCTACACAGCAATGAGAAAAAGTCAGACAACCCAAAAGAAAAATGGGCAAAGACTTGAACAAGCAATTACAAAAGGATATCCAAATAAATATGGAAAGATTTCAAAATATTAGTTATCATGGAATGCAAATTAAAACCACAATGTAGGCTGGGCACAGTGGCTCATGCCTGTAATACCGGCACTTTGGGAAGCCAAGATGGGAGGATTGCTTGAGCCCAGGATTTTGAGACCAGCTTGGGCAACCTAGTGAGATCCCATTTCTACAAAAAAATTTAAAAATTAGCAAGGCGCAGTGGCACACATCTGTAGTCCTATATATATATAGTTCAAAAACAGCTAAACTAATCTATGGTGTTGGTATTCAGGATTACTGACTACCTATGGCAGGGGCACAGGGTGTGCCTGAAAAGCGGGGAGAAGGTTGATTTTGAAGTTCTGGTAATGTTCTGTTTCTTTTTTCTTTTTTTTTTTTTTTGAGACAGAGTCTCACTGTGTTGCCTGGGCTAGAGTGCCGTGGCATCAGCCTAGCTCACAGCAACCTCAAACTCCTGGGCTCAAGCAATCCTCCTGCCTCAGCCTCCTGAGTAGCTGGGACTACAGGCATGCGCCACCATGCCCGGCTAATTTTTTGTATATATTTTTAGTTGTCCAATTAATTTCTTTCTAATTTTAGTAGAGATGGGATCTCGCTCTTGCTCAGGCTGGTTTCGAACTCCTGAGCTCAAACAATCCGCCCGCCTCGGCCTCCCAGAGAGCTAGGATTACAGGCATGAGCCACTGCGCCCGGCCAATGTTCTGTTTCTTGATCTGGCTGTTGGTTATATTGGTGTGTTCACTTTACGAAAATTCATCAAGGCATACTTTTTTGCATATGTATTAAACCTCTATTAAAATTTACATTATATATTCTTATATACATGTATATGTATGCATGTATGTGTATATATTGTCAAAGAACAAAATTTCCACAAATTGAGTTTTAAAGACTTCTATTAGCAATTTATGAACCAGATAACATTCAATCTATAAAATAGGAGCTCCACCCAGCATGGCAGAACAGTTGGTTTTTGTAAGGCAACTTGAGCAGGAACAAGGAAACAGCATAATGCAAAAAGCTGATTGGTTAACATCAGGTTACTTCAGGTTAAAACAGAGAGGACTTCCTTATCATGGCATCTCAGGTCAACTGGGCACTTTTGATAGGTTGCTATGAATCTCCTGTTTTTTCAGAAAACTGGCCTGTTTAGAGGTGTGGCTATAATCTCTCCCCTAATTTCTCAGGTCAGATCTTGCAAATAAATGTCTTCAGTTTCAGTTTGGTGATGTGAAACATTAGCATAAATGACTCCATTTTGGGTTGGTCTGTTGGAATCTAGTACCAGAGCACAACCCAAATCAATGGCTTCTCATAATTTTTATTTAATAACACACACACACACACACACACACACACACACCCCTATATATATTCCATCCAAACTATGGCCACTTCTGATTTCTTCTACTATTATCTCCAATCCAAGACTTCCATGAAAACGGTCCCTGGTGCCAAAAAGGTTGGGGACTACTGCTTTACCTCCCCCAAACCCACTCATGCAAACACAGACATGCACACAAAAACATAGGCAAGAGGAGAATGAAATAAGAATAATTCTCCTTATTAATGAAGTCTGAATGTAAACTACCCTGTCCACTATAATTATTAGCCACTTCACTCACATAATAGTCATAAAATATATTTTGTATTATATATATGTATATATGTATGAGATATATATTATATAGACTATATAATACACCTCATACATATATGTGCACATATATATAATTACAGAGATTATATAATCTTCTTGGTTCAGAATTAAATGAGGATGACATCCAGGTAAAGAATCATTATATTGGAATTATTCATTTTTATATAAACCTTGCTATGTGGTCGTATGTCCATTTTGAATACATGATATAAAAAGAATCTATTGTTTTGTTTGCCAAAATATATGTACTTGGGACCTAGGGCTTGTTCCTTTAGCATTTTGCGTAGGAAACTTTTTCAAACAAAATAAAACCATTTTTTAGGTTTTCATTGCAATAATCAAAAGTTTTTCAGGCCCTGAAGATGAATTTTTTGTAAGTGAATATGTCCAGAAATTGAGATTGTTTCAGTCAGAAGTCTCACCTCCCTGTTCTCAAAATGAATTCTAGAGCCCCTGGAGCAGACAAGGGTGTTTGAGGTTAACTGCTGTTTCTATATAGATATCAATTACCTTTTCAAAGGGCTACCAGTGGGATTTGCCACTTGGCAGTTTGTCTAAAAACTAACTGAAAGTGTTGGGGGGAAGGGAAGGTCCAATTTGGTTGTCAACATAGTTGACCCTTCAGTTTTGATTTTTAAAAATAAAAATTTGAGGAGGTCCTTTCAGTTACTAAATAGCTGACTACACAATTTTGTTTGGTTGGTTTTCAATTTTAAAAATAGGAAACTTAGTGATATGTGTTCAACTACCAGCATTAGTATCTTTCATCTCTTTCCTCTTAGAAAACAGTAAACATAACATCAAGCTATGACTTTTTAAGTGAATTAAGTAATAAAATGAAGCCCCAAATCCATTGGGTGTAACAAGACCAATGCCCGATCATTTGTTCATCAAGTAATTAAGGCTTTTAATAGGGCAGAAAATGATGGTTAAAGGGAAAGATGGCTTTTACTTATGAGTACAAAATAACCATTAATGTCAAAGTTCATTTTGAAACTCATACTTATGGATGAGCAGAGGAAAGTACGGGGTAATGAGGATATGTGTGTTACTCCAGTGTGGGAATTCTGGCTTCATCTTGACCGCATAGCCTGGAAGCTGTGAAACCTAGGGCAGGTTACTTCCCTTATCTTAATTTCACCTTCCTGGGGATGTAAAATGAGTATGGTAAAAACACCTGTCTTTGTAAGGCTTTTGTGAAGATTAAATTCGCTCATAGTTCTAAAAATGTTCTGTAGCTGTAATAATGTATAAGATTATTACTGTGCTTAAATAATTCACTGAATACCCTTCCTGCCTCTCCCTACCTCTAAAGCCACTTCCCTGAGGTGTAGCCAAAGTTGCCCCCCAATCTTGAGGTCTGCTTATCCCAGCTGTTTTATATTGGGATATTTTTCATTAATTAATGAGAATTTTCCATGTTTAATGTCTGAACTAGCCTGCCTAAGCCAGAATAGAACTATAGCTTTCTCTGAAACCCAGATACTATACATATACAAACAGCTCCCTGAGATCTTTAAGGTAGTAGTATTGGAGATGGAAATTAAAGAGTGAGGGAAATCTCTTCCTTCCCCACCCCAGGATGGAACATTGTCCCATTTTCCTAAATATTTTTCTACCTATAATAGAAAAAAGGTACTATTTAATGAAGACTTATTATATGCCAAGCACTGTGCTACGCATTATTTCATGTAATGCTCACAACAGACTAATGCATTCTGTACTATTATTGCCACTTACAGACCAGGGAATTATAATTAGTATAATTAAGCAGCTTGACCAGAGTCACATACCTAGTAAGGGACAGAGTCAGGATTTGAAAACCCAAACCTGCCCAATTCCTTTTCCAGGCTTTTCCCATTATTTACCTCCTACATTTCAACTTCTTTTGCTTGTCCGTGTTTACCTTGCTATCCCTTTATCATTCCATCCTTGATATGCCTGTAATGAGTAGTGGCATGTTCCCTCTGCTTATGGAACCGTTACAATCCACTGGCAGAAAGACAGGTGGCAAACAAATCACTGTGTGACACAGAAGTATTTAAGAAGTCTCTGCATTCGTAACATGGAAATAATATTCTACCTTATAAGCCTGTTGTTACAATAGAGTGAAATGCTCATGTCAAGTATTTAGCAAAGACCCTGACTCACAGAAAGTGGTCAATATATGGAATCTATAATGTTGCCAGACAGTCCAAGGACAGTAACGAGGACACCAAACTATAAGAGCAACTTGGAGCCAGATGTTGAGAGCCTTAAATGCCACCCTAAAAAGTCTAGACCTTCATCTTGATAAAAACAATTGTTCCAACGTTAGTAATCATTCTGAAAAGAAATTAGAGCTGATGCTATTTTACATTACCTTTTAAAATTCATTGTAAGTGAGATGGAGTTGGTGGAAGCAGTTGGAACCAGTTTAAAGGAGTTTTGTATTTGGTATACTAAAGGGAAAGGATATTTTCAAGTTTGGTGCCTTTTATTTTTTCTTCCGCAGTAATTAGTGAATGCCAAAGGCAGCAACTGGAGACTGTGAGCTACTCTTCTCGCTATGCTCTGGGCCTCTTTTATGAAGCTGGCACGAAGATTGATGTCCCTTGGGCTGGGCAGTACATCACCAGTAATCCCTGCATACGCTTCGTCTCCATTGATAATAAGAAGCGCAATATAGGTCAGTACCCCCATTATTTCCCTTAAATACAGTAACAATGGTGGATGTAGATCATGAAAAATGCTGTTTAATTGAGTGTTGCCATTCTGAACAGAGCAAGCATTTAACTCCAAGCCACAGGGGATAAAATTTAATGTCACATTTGGCCAGTAATAAAATACACAGTGAAACCAGCAAAGTTTTTTCAGAAAATCATTCACCACATGGTTTGTATTACTGAGTTCATGAAAATAGTGTCAGAAGGTTTAAGATTTCAAAATGACCCAAGTTCTTTTGCTTAAATATGGATCTATCTATATGCAAATGTATCTCTCATCATTTGTTTCTTGGTGGAGTTTGTTTTCGTTTGTTTGGTTTGGGCTTTTTAAAATTTGATAAGTGCTGCTCATCCACTTCCCCTGCTAGAAATAAAAGGCAAATTTTACTGTTATGAAAATCTTTCAATTCAGTATAATTTTATTGTTTATTTATATTTCTTTTGGAAAAATATGCTAAAATTATTTTGTATAAATGTAACTAAAATGATGGGTAAAATGTTTCACGAGAGCTTTACTAGAATGTGATGAAATCTAAACTCCACCTTTTTTGATGAAGATAGTTGTAAAAATTACATTTCAATTGCAAGAAAAACATAACATTCATTTCAGGCAAAAAGGTGAAAGTATATTCTTATTTTTAGGATTGTGGTGATCCTTGAGGTGCTGCTTTTAGTGGAATAATCTGTAATGATCTAAAATGACTAAACTCTTGAAAGGAATCATCATTTGTTTGTTACAGTGTTTTATGATGCAGCGATGGTTTCATCAAGCCATTAGTTAGAAGTCTGGCTTGATAAATTCACCAACTAATGTCTCTTGGCTTGCCAGAACTTTATAATGGTAGAACTGGCCTGGAGTATGGTTTTTATATCAGAGCACATGATCTTAGAAAAATGTTTCTTTTATAACTTAAAACTCCCTAAGGGCTAGACTGTTTATGTTAATAATGATACCACATATATGTACAATCAGCAGTTCATGAAATGCCCTATAACAGCAATGGACAAACCATTTTTAACTCTGCAACTGCTTTGTTCTGAGAAAAGGAAAATAGCCCTTGATCTTCTCATGTTATTATATACGTTATGCATTAGACATTATCCTTTGTGTTTTACATCATAAGACATGATATCTGTCCAGGTATATTCAGCCGTATATAACAGAAAAAAACAATTTAAACTTATTTAACAACATAAGGAAACTTGTTATATTATCTGCTATGGACTGAATTGTCTGCCCTCCAAATTCATATGTTGAAGCCCTAATCTCAATATAACTATATTTGGAGAGAGAGCTTTTAGGAGGTAATTCAGATTAAATGAGGTGATCAAGGTAGGATCCTAACCCTATAGGATTGATGGTCATACAAGAAGAGCAAGAGAGATAATTCTGTCTGTCCTGGCTTGTACATGCCAAGGAAAAGCCATCTGAGGACATAGCAAGAAGGCAGCTGTCTGTAAGCCAGGAGGAAAGCCCACATCAGGAACCAAACCCACCAGCACCTTGATCTTAGACTTCCCAGCCTCCAGAACTGTGAGAAATTTCTGTTGTTTAAGCCACCCAAACTAGAGTGTTTTGTTATGGTAGCCTGAGATGACTAATGTATTATCTAAGAAGAGATTAGGGAAGGCTTCAGAGTTGGTTGATTCAAGAACTGAGCAATATCTTCAAGGACCTAGGGTTCATCTTTCTCTGCTCCCTTCTACTCTTGATGTTGACATCCTCAGAGGGCTGGTAGCAAGATGGCAGTAGCTATTGGAGTCACATTGAAACCCAACAACATGCTGAGGAAGAACAGGAGCTATCACTGACTCTGTCATAGGCCAGAATTGGTTTACTCGACCAGTCCAAAATTGTTAAAGGGGTGAGAGCAGTGTGATAAGACTAGACAAATCAAGATCTACACTTGGAACTGGTGTTAGGGTCATCCCTTTAGTCATGTGAGAGGTAGCTACCTAAATAAGATAGGGTTTTATTAGGAAGAAAGAAGTAAGTAATAAATGCTGAGTTGACGATCAATAATGCCCATTATCTTCAAGTTCAGTCACATGATATGTGGGAGGTAAAGTTCTAAAGTTAGCACATAAAGACAAGAGTCACATATATTCAAAATTACCTTTGAAGTTCCTTAAAACTACATGACATTTTGGAGAATGACATAACAACTTTCAGTAAATTCAGTACGTCCATTTTTCCAGCATTCATTTGATTTTAGTTTCTTTGGGTGAAGCCAGATTAAATATTTGGTTAGCATTTATATGATAGTGATATTATGTACTATGAAAGGCATACAGGATGGAAAGAAATATTAATAGCAGAATCTTATCTCCTAACAGACTAAATCTGCTGTATGAATGGAGTGGAATGGTGGGTGAAAGCACCCATACTATTGTACAGTAGTAATTTATAAAATTATGCAAATTTTAAAAAGTATAACATACAAATATTAATAAACTCTCATGTGATTGACAGCATTTGAAATAATAGAATTTTTGTAAAATTTTTATATCAACAATCACACAATGTTAAAACTAGAGGGCTAGGTAAATTGGAAACCATATTTTTGCTATAGCCTGTGGTCGTGCCACTTTAGCTGGCAAAGAAATACCTGCCTTCCTTTGTCAGTTGTGTGGAAAATTAATCTTCAATTATGCAAGTTTTAAATTATGTGAAGCTTCCAGTAATGGCATTCTCTAACATAAAATCTAACTGCTTTGTATTTAAACTATTTTTTCTCACTATCTGGGGATCAGAGTACTAAGTGTGTCTAGTTGAATTCACCTAATATGAATGCCCATACATGTAACTTTACTGCATTTTGTTGATATTGACAGTTAACTATTGACAGCCAGTAAGAGATGTGTCTTTATGCCACTAACACTACCCCACACCCTCCCCTTTATTTGGGGTGTTTGATTGAATCAAGAATTAATACTAGAATGCACATACTCAGTTATCAAGGGGAACATTGATGTTTTGTCCAGGTAGGACAAGAAGAAGATAGATGAGGGTGACAGTATTGAAACCACAATATAGAGTCCATTGTGAAGTCTTGAAGAGGATACAGAAGTGGCCCAAACCAGACAAAGGTGAAGACATAACCATTTGTCAGATGTCAGGAATATATAATATATGCAGAAAGTCACAATCAGAACCAATGTTTCCTTATACAGAGGGACTAAATTCCAAGAGGTGCTAGACCCAAATCCAAGTACCAGTAGTTATGGCTAAGACCTGATATACTTATGTTTGTGTTTCCCAAAATGTGTTCTATAGAACACTAGTTCCTTGAGATGCTCTTTGGGAAGGGGCTCTGTCATCAAACAAGGTTGCAAAATGCTACATACTTTACCCCTATTTTGGAGAGTCTCAGGACATATTATCCTATTAAAGGATATTCCCGCAGAAAAGATACCTTTTCACTTCTTTAATCTAGAATTTCCCAAATGTACCCATGCATAGAATATTTTATTTGGGCACTAGACTTACACCAGAAATGGTTCCCCAGTATACACTTGAGAAAACCTGACTTGATTTCGCCTTTTGTTTCATACCTGGACAGGAATTGTAGGCCAGAAAGTTGGGGTGGAGAGATCTGGTCCTGAAGGCACCAATAGGAAAATACATGAGATTTTTTAGAGATGGGAGAACCCTCGTTGCCAATGAACTCAAATCTTGGTGAAGTTAGAATTTGAGACAATTTAAGTTAAAATAAGGTATTTATCATATTAAGATGGATAATTTCTTAAATTATTGGTAATATTGGCATAACAGGAAGAATTTGGACTTAAAAGACCTAGATTCAAACTCTGGTTCCGCAAAGTGTTAGTGATGTGCTCTTGCATGATCCTTGTATTGGTAATGCTAGTTTTTGTAGTCCAAAAACTTTAATTGCCTGAACATGACAGAACTTTATTTCTTGTGCACATAAAGCCCAAACAGGTGTTTATGATTGGTAGGTAGCTTCTTTCAAAGCAGTTATTCAGGGACCCAGACTCCTCCATTGCTTGACTCTGCCAACTTCATCAGGTAGCTAATGGAGTCCCTGTGCTCATAAGCATCAAATCAGTGGATGGGAAAGAGAATGAAGGAGAATACATGGTAGTGGCTAGGCCTAGAAATGGTGCACATCAGGTGTGCTCACAATCTATTGTTTAGAACACAGTGAGCTAGGTGGTGACACCTATTTGGAAGGGAAGCTGGAAATGTAGTTTACCTATGCATATAGGAAGAAGAAAAAATAGATTTGGTGATCTTCTAGCCAGTTTCTGCTACAACACTTAGCATACATCGTTCTATAAAAAGAACAGATTAGACCTGCATGGATGATAAAGAGGTTTCACTGTAAGTGCAAATCATTCAACCAGTAGTCACCACCTAGGGCGAAAACCAAGAATGATTCCAAGGCTGGGTATAGACTCAGTAGAAAAGGCTATGCCAACAATTAGCAATGTCTGTCAGGTAGGGGGCATAAGTGTAGTGCCCCAAGTGAGATACATTTACCTCCCAAGAAGTTCTCTGAGGTCCCTCCCAAGATCTTAAATTTGGAGTCAAACTGTCAAGGAGTCACACTACCCAGATTGAACTCAGTTCCGCCACTTACTAACTGTGTGACTTTGGGTAAATTACTTAAACTATCTGTCACCCCATCAATAAGATGAAGAAAATAATACTATACTAACCCCAAAGGGTTATTGAGAAGTAAATAGTTTGAACACATAAAGAGCTTCACATGGCACTTTAGCAAATAATAAATCAGTGTCTATGGTACCTTTTATTATCCTCAATAATTACAGTCTTCACTTTGGATATTATATTCTCCAAAGAAAAGTCCATAAATATAAAAGTCTAACTTAGGTGAATTCAGCTCTCTGTTAACCAGTACTGATAGGAGTCAGGACAGCTTAAATAAATAAAATGTATAAGTGACCCTGAAAATGATTGGTCAGAAATTTATCATTC